GGGAGAGAGAGAAAGAAAGAAAGAAAGAAAGAAAGAAAGAAAGAAAGAAAGAAAGAAAGAAAGAAAGAAAGAAAGAAAGAAAGAAAGAAAGCCACAAAGGGAATTTTGGACCGAAGGCGGAATCTGTTCTGCCAGGATTTGAACTTGTATCACCCAAGACCCCAGGGTGCCTCCTAGCGCCTGGTGGCGAAGTGCAGTGCTCTCCCCTCCCTGCAGTACCTGGTCCCGATGGGGATGGCAGGAATAAAGGCGCCTGGGGAGAGACGCCTGCCGACTTCCAGATTGTGGGGGCGATGGCCAAGAGAGGGAGAATCTGCCTTTCGCTTCCTTTGTTCCCTCGCCTCAAATCCTTGTCTGGCTCTTTTTTCTCTTCCTGCCACTTGATCTCCCTGCATCTTCTGGCTTTTCTTTTCTACCCACAGCTGTTCTGCTTACTGGGCTACCATCTTTCTCAATATTCTAGTCCTCAAGGACCCCTCCATTAGCTGTCTGTCGTCATCTTTTAACCACCCTATAACCCCTTGCCGGGGTGGAGTCTGGGCAATTGAATGGAGCGGAGGGTTTCCTGGCCGGATGCCGTTCATGTCGCCACTGAGGAGTTTTGTTCGGCAGATAATATTCTCATTTTGCCCAGAGAGAGAAATATCTGCCTCTACCTAGGATCGAACTCACAGCCTCCTGATTGTAAGGCGAGAGCACCACCTCTAGGCCACCGCGCCACTCATTAGCTGTCTCTCATCTCTCCCCCCCCCCAAAAAAAACCACCCCGTTAAGACTTCTGCAAGCTTTCCTTGCAAGTTCTCCTGGCAGCATCCCACTGACTGCTTCATCCTGAAAAAAAGCCAGCTGGGTTAGGCTAGGATAGGGAAGTGGATGGGAGACCACTTGGTAATGTAGTAAAGTGGACTACAAATACAATTATTGTCATTGTTGTACGGACCCTGGGAGACCTTGCTGCAGAGGGGGGACTGCAGAGCGGAGTCAGGGGGTCAACAGGGCTTGATCTTGAAAAACAAATCAGGGTTGGACCCGATCAGTAATTGGATGGGAGACCAACAGGAAATCCCTGGAGGCAAAATGGGGGGCTGGAAGAAAGCTTTCTCTGCATGCCCAAGTACTGAAGAATTCTGAGGTCCTTGGTGCTGAGCTTAGTGGCTTTCTTGCAGACGTTTCACAACCCAACTAGGTAACGTCATCAGTGCTAGAAGGGAATGGAGATTGTGGAGAGGAGGAGGAGGAGGAGGACTGGGAGGTCCTTGGTGCCCTCTGAAATTGGCTGTATTTTTGCAGACATTTCATGACCCAAGTAGGTAACACCATCAGCGCCATAAGGAAGTAGAGAAAAAAATGTTCCCCCTTCTCTGAGCAACTCTGCTCAGTTTTGTACTGCAAAGCTGTGGTGTGTGTGTGTGTTTGTGTGTGTGGTGTGTGTGCCCTCGAACATTTTGCCCCTGCAAAACCTTCTTTTTTTCTTCCTTCCATCCATCCTCTCCATTCCTCCTTCCTTTTTTCCTCCCTCCCTCCAATCCTCTCTCCATCCTTCCTTTCTTTCCTTTCTTCCTCCTCTCCATTCTTCTTTCCTTTCTTCCTCTCCATTTTTCTTTCCTTCCTTCCTCTCCATTCTTCCTCCCTTCCTCCCCCCCTCTCTCCAATCCCTACTTCCTTCTTTCCTTACTTCCTTTCTTCATTCCTTCCTTCCTTCCTTCCTTGAATGCTCAAACAATGGAAGTGTTAAAGAAGAGATTGGACAATCATTTGTCTGAAATGGTATAGGGCAGATTTGGTCTCTAGTGCCCAAAAGGTTGGGGGTCGCTGGTATAGGGTTTCCTGCCTGAGCAGGGGCTTGGTCTAGAAAACCCCCAAGGTCCCTTCCAACTCTATTAGAGTATCTATCTATCTATCTATCTATCTATCTATCTATCTATCTATCTATCTATCTATCTATTAGACTTATATACCGCTTCATAGGGT